ACTTATAAAACTAACTGCGATTTCAATTAGGCTGTCTGTGGATTCAGGTTTCTGGCTTTTCTCGTTTTCTTTTTGTTTCGCTTCTTTCTTTTTCTCGTTTTGCTTTTGTTTTGCTTCTTTCTTTTCCTTTTTGGCTTGTTCTTTTTCCTCTTTCTTCTTCCTTTTCTTCATTGCCTGACGAGCTCGTTCCTTCAGAATTGCTTCTCGTCGAGCTCTGTCTGGGTCGTCGTCAACATCGTCGGCGTCTATCATGAGGATACTCGTCCCAGCAGACGAAGCACTGCTCGGCGTAGGGAGCCGTCGACCCCACATTGTTTGGACAAGACTCAAATGGGTTTTAGAGCAAAAAATTACATGTTACAAATTACAATTACAAGAAAAAACTGCAAACCACACATTTCGGTGAATAGGTTGATCACGTTAGATTTTTGTTCACTAGTTTTCTTTTGACCAGTTCTATTATTTCACACTTGTGATTTTTTGACTGCTCACAATGTAATTAATGTTGATGTAGTGAATATTAAAACTGCCTATCAAGCGTATTGGCTCTCTTTCATTTTTGAAAAATTAAATACCAACCAGGAAAGAAATTTTTACAGTCTAAAAAAATATTTTGTACAACAAACGAAAAAATTCTTCTCGTATGAGAATACATAATTAGGCCGTAAATATTTTGAAAATGGGGAGAAACTTTGTGTCCTAGTGTGTTTTAATTTTTTTAAGCTTTCTACTCAAAAATGTCAAAGTACAACCGTTTCACAAAAATAAGTCAAAGTATAACGGTTTCAGTTGTGATTCGAAAGGTAGTATTTTTTTTTCAAAATTTTGTTTAAAGGGCGAGACAAATTGGTTTTAAGCCTTAGAGTTATAGTTCAATTTCGAACAAGTACAGAGATCGAATAACGCTCGTTATATGAAAATTTTTCTTGGATTTAGCCTTTTACACTGTGAAAACTTGATCTTGCCAAAAACGCCTCATTTGGGAATTTCATATGCGCTAAAAGTTAAAAAGTATTGTGCAAAAGAAATATTTTGTCTTGAATAATTTCATTTTTTTTGTTTGTCATTCATTTTTCGAAAACAAATATTATTCTTTATGCCTAATTGAGCAACTTTCTACGCGCTTGTTTAGTTATCTGGTCAAGCCACATGCTAAAAGCGACACTAATATGAAGAAAAAAAATCGTTTTCAATTTCTCTTTAATGATGGTGGTCGGAACATTTTGTGCTACTGCTACTGCACAAAAACCCGCTATACTAGTTCTAAGTTGTGTATTGTTTTGCGATGTATATTCCAATGGTTATGTATGCTGTACATATACTAATAGATACTTAAATTTCGAAAGAGTTGAAAAAATTATTGCATTTAAGCGTAAAATATTTTCTCTGAAAGTATATGCCATCAAAGTTGACACCTCTGTTACGCACAATTGAGACTTAGTTGAGATTTGGTTGTCCTCTAGCCGACACTCAAAGATTCTTTTCAATGGAAAAAATACAATGTTTATCACAACACTTTTTGAAGATCAAAATTGAAAAGACAAATTTAAAATTTCGAAAACGGGATTTTACTAAGATAAGGGGCGAAAAAAGGCCTTTCCGAAGATAAAAATGAGGAAGACAAAATGAAACTTTGATGAAGTGCTTTTTCCAAGAAAAGGCTTATAATAACGCTAGTGTAAGTTTTGAAACGGCGTCAAAATGAAACACAAGTGACTGAATTTTTTAAGTCAATTTGATTTTCCCGCATTGGCAAAAATAAGATTGCAATCGATTATAATCGATTTTCATACAGATTTTCTACTAGTAAAAAATCGATTGTATGTATACCAATTAGACACTAAAATGGATAATATGGGGATTTTATAGAGTTCAGAAAAATTGATTTTATAGTCTAGAAAATGGATTTTTTTTGCGGTAAAAAATCTGTATAGAATCTGTATAAACTCTATTATAATCGATTGTAATGCATTTTCTAAGGACCCAAAAAAATCCATTATGTTGTCTAACAAATGGATTATATTGTCTAAAAAATTGATTTTTTTACTCTAAGTAGCATGCTGTTTGAAAACTCAAAACAAAAGTTGATTTCAAACTAAACGACACAAGTTCAAGGAAATTATCGATATAATTAAGATTCGGGAACAAAAGTATGCATTAAAAGCATGAAAATCATCAATATAAACAAAATTTTGGGCGAAAACGTGTTAAAAATGAAGAAAATGGTCAATATAAAACAGATTTTGAGCTCACAAAAATGCAATAAAATATCAAAAATCTATCAATGTAAATCAGATATTTAGCAAATGGAGTTTATGGAAAGGATAGGTATATAATCTGTATAAAATGTGTATATAATCTGAAAAAAATCTGTATATAATCTGTACCAAAAAATGCACTTAAAAATGGATTTTGGTCACTATCGAATCGATTAAAATAAGTATAAATTGCAATCGATTGTAATCGATTTGATAGTCACAAAAATCCAATATTTAGTGCATAAAATTAAACTAGCTTGCTGAATTGTAGATTTTACTTGCAAAAATTGATTCCAATTTTAGTTTTACCAATACAAGAAAAAATACAAGAAAACAATCATATAACTAACAGAAATTTCCTTTAAACAGTAATTGGGTTTGGGCTTACAGCAGACGCAAAAGAAATTTTTCTTCTTGCATCTGCTTTATCTCTCTTTTGTTCTTTTTTATTTGTGTTTTCCTCTTGTTGTCTGCCGTGCTCTTCCTTTTAAAATCCGATTGAAAGAGAAAACTAAATACACTTAATGAAATTGTAACTTTATTGCGTTTAATCGTATGTATAGTATATCAGTACATCATCTCAAACGAACATGTCAATGATTTTTACACCTCTGATTATCACAGTTGAGACTTAATAACGTGAGAGCTGCGATGTCGAATATGAGGAAAAAAGAATAGACGGAGACAATTATGGAAAGACAGCATTCAATGACAGAGATGAAAAGGAAGACCGACCAAAAACATTTGTCTTCCAGTTCAATTGAAGTCAAAAATATGGAGGGTTTATTAAAAAAAGCAGGCAAGAGGAAAGAGATCAGGAGAAACGAAAAACTTCACACAAAAAATGACTCCCAAATTTAACAGGCTCTTGACCATGAGTTTTTGAAATACTGTTACGCTGAAGAGAAAATTCTGGATCTCAATTTATTGATCCTGAAAGCTAGTCGATTCTCAGAGTAAAGAGATAGAGGTAGACATTAGATGTTTCCAGTGCAACCGCATCAGCTCCCAAAAACCTTCGAAGAAGCGTCTCTATAGAATTCATTAGTGTTCCTATGTTCAAGTTTGTATTGACTACAATATTAAATTTGCGCTAAAAAATAAATTAACGTTAAGAAGCGTTAACGGAGGTATAATTTGATTTTCACAGTTGAACACTCAAGCAAATAACTGAACGTTAACTTCCGTTTAAAGGGGTTAAAAACAACTGTGAGAACTAGGGCTAAGAGAACTACTAGAACATAACTACCTCTAACAGTGTGAGCCGATCTGAGTCACCGAGACGAAGAAAAGTCCGCTGCACCTGAACTGGACTCGAACTGCAAGCTCTATTATTGTCCAAGACCGCGCCATCCTCAACCTGTTTGTTCTTTTTTTACGGGACTCGTCTCCCGGGATCCCCATCAGAGAAAAGATGATTCGCAGACCTCTTGATGGTCGACTGAACTTGCTTCTGAGAAGAGAAGACTGTTTCTGAAGCAAAGGAGCACAGGCGCCCGCACCACCCTCATCAGCAGTTAAGGTGGGAAACTGGAAAACAGCCCTTTTATTGATCCATAACCATTTCTCCCAGGTTCGTCATTATTTGGCTGAGGTAATGTGTTCGCTTTTGCACACCATTTGACTTTCGAACAGCTTTGTTTTCTAATTTTACGAGGGGACTGGGAAACTGAAAACGAGCTCTATTTTTGATTCATAACCACTTCTCCCATAAGGTTCGTTATCATTTGGCTTAGAGGTTATGTGTTCATGTATTCGCCTTTGCACACCATTTGATTTTCGAACAGCTTTATTATCTGATTTTACGAGTGGGGTGGGAAACTGGAAAAGAGCCTTATTATTGATCCATAACCACTCCTCCCAGGTTCGTTATTATTTGGCTTACAGGTGTTGGGTTCGCCTTTGCTTACTTTCTGGCGTAGAGGTAAAGTGTTTGCCTTTGCATAAAAAAGACAAAATGGTCGGAACAATGCTGTCTTTGATTTTTGAATTGATTGTTTCAGACTGAGGGTTTAGCTCACAACAATAATAGTTTTCAGTGGGTTTGAAACAAAATAGTCACAATCTTCTACAAAAGCTCAAAATTTGTTTTGAATTAAAATTACCAAGCATAAATATTTCTTCGTACTTCGAACTGGCAGCAATTTTATAATCATATGTGCCGCGAACGTTAGTATGGATTATAAGCCCAATGAAAGTTTTTTTATCAAATTAATTTTTTGTTGAAAAATAATGGGGTGGAAAACAAATAAGGGTTGGATACGCAATTTTTTGGAGGATTGGGTTAATAAGATTATCGTTGTTTTTTTTAAATCAACCAAATAGACTTTTTGTCAACTGTGTACTGAGAGATAACTGTGTACTAATAACAAGAGGAAAATTTGCAAGATGGTCCTGACCATTAAGTAAACTTCCTTGAATAATTAGTATCTTGCTCCACTTTCAGACACCTGAAGTGTGCCTTTTAGTAGTACTCTGAGTTACATTCATAATCTGCTAATGTTTTTCAGCAGTTATTAAGAAGCAGTTAAATGTTAAAAGTATCCCCGAAAGATAAAAAAAAAAGTTCGCTTTTTCAAAAAGTTGTCAGACCGGTGGTCAGATTATTTTGTCTACTTGTATAGCAATCGGCTATGTTCGTTATCTAGAGCTTTGTATCATCGCCTTTTCTTGTGTCTTTGCCCTGAGAGCCTAAAAAAGAATGCTACAAATAAACTTCTTGGGTTGTGAAAATGGTGCGGATCTAATTATTAATTTATTACTCAGTACGCGAACAACAGAAAACATAATCAATCAATTAATCAATCAGTTGGTGAGAAGGAATGCGCTAAGAACTAATAATTATTGCATAGCTGTCTATATAGTAGAACTTTGGCAATATAATACAACATCAGGCCCTTTTAAAATCAATATTTTTGATTCAGCATAAAAATTTCAATCCAACTTTAATTACTTTTACTAAAAAGACTAGCAATGTAAATTCACCTCACCTTAAGATGCTATTCGAGACAGTATTTAATTAATCACCAACTTAACTCATTAAAATTGAAACTTGCCGTGACAACATATCTGTTTTGGTCAAATTAAGTCTTTTATTATCTGTTTCATTCATGTACTAACTAGTGCACAGCACAAGTAGTAGATAATCAACTAGCTGCTAGAGGTGAAGAGAGGAGGGGTGATGCAACCAAAACTAATAGCCCCCACTCCCTGAAGTGAAGCATCAGCTTTAAAAAACTTTGTAGATTTTTCAAATTGCAATCTTAGCAAAAGTACTTTTTCAAAAAATACCATCGATTATGAAACAATTACAAAAAAGTGGCCTTTTTTGATGTCAAAAATTTAAGAACCTGAGTTCCACTTCAATCAAAGGTGCTTTTAAACTAAACATGAAGCATAATTACATCATAGTATTTATAATCAATCAAGAGAAGACTAGCTGTGAAGGTGAATTAAAATGAATAGAATACCATCAGTGGATTGAATCGCACGAGTCATTAAAAGTTTTGTCTTTGAACTTGAACCCTAGTCCTAATGAAGGATAAACGGCTGCTAGCAACACTACTAACTAAATAAAAAGGAATTATTATTATTAACTAATGTGGCTCTCAATGAAGTAAACAACTGTACAAAAATATAAAAGTAAAGTCACTATAGTGAATTATACAATACGATACAATTTAGAGAATTAAGAAGCAGACAAAGCAAGCTCGTATAGTAAAATCTTCATTACATTAATTTAAATTGCCTAATTAGAAGGATAGAGAAAAACATGAAGGGCTATCGGTTAACTAAGTTAACTAACCTGACAAAACGAATTCCATCCGTTCTGCTTTCAGCTATTATACTGCTTGGTAAAAGTTATTCACACTGAGCTCAAAGATAAAGTTCACAAATTCAATTTATTAACTAGTCTGTTTCGCAGTCTTCTTTTTCTACTAGTCTATACTTTCTAGTTATTACTTCATTCGATTCGATATTCAATGGTCATCATTATTAGTCGCCGACCAAAGCCACCTCATGAGTTAGGCGGCTGCAAGTGTGGTTGTTGGTTGCTTGTCCCTGCCCTTGAGCTGCTGTTGTTATTTGCCCCGAGCACCGTTGTTGTCGCGTGGGCGTGAGGCACCTGGTGCTGTGAGAGAGAGGGGTGCAGCTGGTGTTGCGGTGGAGCGAAGTGGTGCGGGTGATGCGGATGGACCATAGTTTGCTGGTGCGAGTGCGTCTGCTGCGGTTGCGACTGTGGATGGGTATGGCCTCCTGAGAATGCGGCCATAGCTGCCATGAATTGCTCCACCTGTTGCTGTTGTTGAGCAGCTGCATGTACTGCATATACCTTGACAAACAATTACCAATTTGTTAGACGCTGTACTAGTAATGACTGTATGTGCTAGTAGCAATGCTTAACTGATGGCTAGTTATCTTTTATCACAGAACCTGAACTTGGACTGATTAAAACAGCATTATCTTAAAATTAATTAAATTCCAAGAATGATTCTTACTTTTTGCTAAAAATGAATGATCTAGAGAAACAGTAGAATTTTCGATTTCAAGAGAACTTTCTATATTAAGTTGGCCCGATTAACGTTCATCTTATCAACTTGGCTGCCCTGGAAAATAGATTATTTTATTACCTGCTGCTGTTGCTGGGGATGCATTGCTCCTGGCTGACCCCCGCCCATCATAACTCCCGGAGGACCAAGAGGAGGGTACATCTGCCCAGCAGCACCCGTCGCACCCTGGCCAAGAGCACCGCCCGATGCCCCGGATCCGGTGGCTGAGATGTAGTGCTGCGCTTGAGCCGCTGCCATGGCCATTGCCGGGTAGTAATACATCGCTGCACTTGGGTTCAACGAGGATGCTGTTGTACCTGGGTTCTGATTACCCCCTTGCTGGTGCTGGTGGAGCGACGTAGCCGAGGGAAGAGGAGTATTCATTGCATCCACGCCACCACTGGAGTCTGCTACTGAGGCGGCGGCGAGTATTGCACTGTGGTCGGACAGACTGGCTGCTCCTCCGTAGAAATCTAAGATACATTTGTACAAGAAAATCACAGAGTTCTGACTCTGCATTGAAAGTCATTGCCAAAGAGGACAGCCAACAAACAGACTAGTGAAATGTCAAAAAAATTAAACACCTCAACTTTTTTAAAGAAAAATTAAAATTTCTAGTTGTAAAAACAAATAGAACCTGAAACACTTCGAAAAACAAGAATTTTTTATTGGCATTTAAAAAAAAACAGCCTTTATTGACAAAAAAATTTAGACCATTGGGTTATCTTCATTTTGCTGATTAACATAATGGTTGACACAATTCGACGGTAGGCTTAACTCGAACCAGATCAAAACAATTTCAGTTTCAATAGATCAAGAGTTTTAGCTTTTACGCCTTCTCATGTCATTAAATCTTCCCTCTTTTTAGCATTTTATATTATTTTGATGACTTCCCGAATCTCGATGATTGTTTGTTTGATTTGATGATTTTGGCTGTCAGAGTAGTTCTATTATTAGTCTGGAAAACTTCAAACCAGCCACCTCCTCTGTTGGCAATGCATAAGACTATTCCTTGGCCTTTAATGTGTGCCCAGCCACATGGATTCGTACCCATGAGGCTGGGCTTAAAAAATGATTCCTTTTTTTACTTCCGACCAGCTGAAAACTTTCCCTACTGATGTGTATTCTTCCTCTTCTCACTGTAGTAACAATCGTTAAACATTCTGTGACCTACCAGGCTGCCAGGTACCCATTCGATAAGCAATTTCTGTTGCCAGTCTTCCTGGACGTGTCTTGGATTCCGAATTTTGGTTTTAAAAGTACAACAAAACGATAGATGATTATTTGTATAGTCAAGGCTTCATCTTCGATCTTAAAAGTGATTCAACTTCTGAGCATTGGCTCTAATCATGACTGCAAAATCAATTGAAGTTGTCGTGAAAGTTTAATCCGCCTGCAGTGAGCAATTGATATTGTAAAGCTTGACTATCTTTATGTCTACGACAAAGTAGTCTTGGAGATGTCTTAGAGTACTTAAAGAAGGTGCACATGGGATTTGGTCACTTGACACAGAGATCAGTTCATTGTGGAACCTCATCGGTGCAATAGTCCATCTAGTTTTTCTGGCTGACTGATGCACTGATCGGAATCTCTAAATCTAGAGCAAAAAAGCATGGCAGAGGTTTATATTCTGATTGCGGAGTAACTTGCGCCTGAGTGCTCTTCCACAGTCGTTTCAAGCCAAACACCACTGCTGGCTCTCAACTTTGCTCAACAGCTGGTAGTATTCTTAAAAAGTACATCACTCGATGGTTTGGAGCAAATATCTTGTTTGATATTCTAAAAAGACTTGGTCGCATTGCACTTACCTACTACAATCATTAAGGTGGAGCATATTCATGGCAGAGTTCAGTATTAGTCGTCCGTAGAAATTTAACAGTCCAGAAAATGATGGAAAATCATGGTTTTAAAAAGTATATTTGTGCTCCGAATCTTCCCATATAGCCGATCATCATGCTTGGTTCAAGCAGCTGGAACTTAACAGCTAAAAAATGAAACGTGGCATTGAGATGACTTTGCTTAATTGATGGTTGAACTATTTTCTCGGATTAGTCCGTTGAATGACAGCAAACGTTTGTCGAATGGTTATTTTGTAGATCTGTAGACGATTAGGGAAACGATCAGGCCAATAATTCACTTGAGTGAGTGTTCTTGATGCGGTTCTGAAAGATCGACGAAACTTTATTTAATCCTTGAGATAGTTGGCACATCTGCAACAGCTTCTATTAGATGCTGATTGTTCACACTATTCGGACCAAGTCTTCTGGTTTCGTATTTACTACCTCTTGCATTGGTTTCTTCCGTGATTTGCAGAAAAGTGGCAGAGCCCCATGCATCTCGACTAAAAAGCATGATTTCGCGTTGGTTCGACCAACCCATGTCAAATCAGAAACAACGCTGTTCCTTAGAGATAGATTAAGCATCAATCATATGCTTAGGTGTCGAACAATTTCACTCAGAAGTTTTTAAGCTTCCCCATATGCTCGATGGAATCTCTCCTATGGCATGACCTGCGTCAACTTGCATTTTTTCTTCATTGCCATATGATGAATTTCTCATGCGGAAGCCCTGCCGAAGAGATTTAAGACAAAAAACATCTGAACTTTCATGATGCTTGAATCACTGATTATCTATTTTATTAGCGGTGCTGCTGTTGGGTGCCTTGGATCTAAAGCGTCATATATAACCCAATTCATACCCGTTGAGGGACAAGTCAAAGCCTCACACAGTTTTACACAGCAGCTACTAGCAGAACCTGGTTTTTCGAGGGTTAACTAAGCATTCTGCAGTTTCATTTTTGATATTATCCTTGGATAATCCAGCAAAAAGCAACACTTGATCACTACGCGTCGAAAGAGCTTGCATATTACTTAGAGTTATATCTGTTTCAACTCTCGCTTTAATTATATAGAATTGAGATTCTGCAACCTTTTAACATGAGATGAAATTGATTCGTATCATCTCGTCATCCACATCAGTGGTTGTTTCAAGTCCCAAAAGTTAGAGTATCGAGCAGCTTCACGCGTGTAAGTATCGAGCTACAGGCAACAGTATCGAGCTAAAATATTGAGTTTCCCACGAAAGCCGTTCTCAATCTCCTCGAGTCTGAATTGTAGACGGTAGTTCGGCACGCTCAGCAAAAACCACACCTTGTGAGTCTATTTAAGCTTTTTAAAAAATTGTAGATGTTATTAAGCATCAACTCAGAGGTTATTTGGCGAATGCAAAGTCTTCAACTCCATGGTTGCCTGCACTCAAGACTGACGAGGAAGGAATCAGTCATTAAAAGAACTGAGGTTTTCGTTACTTGGACAGCTTTGTCGATTCCAAACTATCCAATAAAATGAAATTATTCAATCTAATTTGTTTACACTGACCTCCACGTTTGTGGATTGACGACAAGCAAGAAAGTTGCAATGAAGAATTTATTGAGAGTCATTGAGTAATAATTTTTTACTCAAGTAATTGACATATAAAGCATAGATTTCATAGATAGGAGTGATCAGTACCATGAGAACCAACTCTGGTTGTCAGCTTTAAATCAGATCAAACTAGATCAATTTTAATAGATCAGATAACTAAACTTCAATTCAGAATTTCAACTTGATTGAACTCTCATTTCATCAAAAACTTGAGAGACCTGATTAAAAAAACATTAATTAAGGTTAAAAACATGGCTAAGAGAATATTGAAACAAAAGTAGAACAGCAAAACTGAAAAAAATTGATTCAAAACTTTTGAAATTTTCTCAACTTTCGAAGAAAAAAATGATAAATATTAACACAGAGGCGAAGCTTCGCTTCGCAAACACTAGCGGAAACACGACAAAAAGCTGCTCTAGAAACTGCAATAAGAAAAATAGAAATAAGCCTCGAATTAGCAAAACTGCGACCTACTGCAAACAGAGATTTTGAATCTCAAGCACTAACCACTCAACCACGCACGCTTAACCACCGACAAACACTAGTCACAAACAAAGCAGCTACATATGCCAATCAACTGCCAACGCAATTCAGCAAAAGTGGCACCAAATACAAATAGACACATTTTTGCAAGTAATAAATTGGAATATAACAAACTGAAGGCACCCACACTAACTTAGCATGAAACAAATCGCTAGCATACAGCCACTTTATGATTAAATTATGCATTTCAAAAAAATAGCGAGATAGATTGAGTTAGAAAATTTCTGAAATCGAGTTTTTAATATTGGTGTTGTTTGAAACAAATAGCTTTTTTCGGTTCATTTGATGAATTAAAAATGCATCAGCTGTGTTAACTTATTACTATTCGAATGTCAAAGCACATGCAAACAAAAAGCTGTAAAAGTGCCCGAAAAGAGGCACCAATATTTGCGACTTAGGTTAGAAAAAAAGAAGGTTCGTAATTATAAACTAAGTTGACACTAGTGTAAATAAGGTGAAAAGCATAACCGAGAGAAGGTTGGAAAAAAGTTAAAAAAAACAACGAGACAGAAAAAATTTGATTGAAAACTTTTGAACATTTCTCAACTTTCGAAGAAAAAAAACATCAGATCAGGTTAAAGCTCTTTGAAATTCAAGAAAAGATTATGATTGAAATTTTTTTTGACAAACTTTAGTGGTACCTTAGTCAATTCAGCAAAAATTCTTTTTCTCGCCACTGAAAGCACTTATCAAAAGAAGATAAAAAAAGATCCGAATGATTGCTCCTCTTCACCTCGTGAAATGAAGGGACAAAAACCTTCGTAAGAACAAGGAACGCAAAAAAAACTGGCTCAAAAAATTGCAAAGGGAAACAAACATGGCATTCAAGATCTTTGATTTTCAAGAAATTTAGGAGTGACATTTTTTTTATGAAATAAACTCAATTTGGGAAAACTGGATCAACAAGTGCCCGAAGTCTTATTCCACTGGGAAATCTGAAAATTTATATCCACTGTCGAAATTAGAAAACGTTCTCATTTTTCGTGACCTTTACAATTTTTCTGTTCGAAATGGGAGTTTGCCTTCCTTTTAACTAAGAAAATGAGATGAACGGACAAAATCAAAGTAAAACCGAGAAAAATCAAATTAGAGAATTTTATGAATTGTAAGAAAAAAATCATCACGACCTACATAAGTCTTCTCGACGTTCATCTACTGTTAATCAATCAGATCTCCATCAAAATTTACTAATACTAATACGTAAGTAAATTGACAAACCATACACTATCTAAATAGCTGATGCATACACTCACTGGAATATGCAGAGTTAAGACCAGCTTGTTGAAAGCTCTGCTCCTGTGTGGCCTGATTCAGCGACTGTAGATTGGAGTGAGGTCCAGCAGTAGCCGCCAACATAGCCAACTGGGCAGCATTGAGCGCAGTCGAGGGACCACCTCCTGTCCCGCCCACGGTCGATCTATTGCCAGCTGATGCCCCACTTGCCAATTGGGTTTGAGAGGGGTTGAAGGAAGCGTGCATGTTGTTCACACTTGCGAGCACGTTCTGCATCGGAAACACCTCGGCTCCAGGCACGCCAGGCGGCATACCTCCGAAATTGGAGGAGTAGAAGGTATTATTATTATTATTGTTATTATTATTGCTATTTGTTAGACTCATCGGTTTGGTTTGAGACATGCTAGTGTAACTGTTGGTCAAGTGTGAGAACGAACCACTCGAGTTTCCTGCCATGCTAAGCATCTGAGAATTCACGCGCGAAACATTAGCGCCTGACATGTTCGACTGAGAGCTGAAGGGCATTGGTGCCATTGAGAACGGAGGTATCGATGGGTTCTCACTTGAGGGCGAGACCCTCCTTGCTGCAGAGTATCTCTTGTTAGTTCTATTTACAACCGAGTTCCCAGAATTTCCGGATTTGTTCAATGATGCCGTCTGCTGGCTGACGCTACCCAGTGAAGAGTTCATAGGTGAGTCCGATACCTCCTGCTCCTCGCTAGCTATGTAACCCACTTGGTGGTCTGAATCTAAATTTGTCTCTTTAGTTGGTCCACTAGTGTTCAGCATGAATGGTCTCGTTACCCCTATCTTCTTAGACGCCATCACCCCGTCTACTGGTATAGTGGAACTCGAGCTACCAATTGAACTCCTCTCGAATCGAGGAGGAGTCTCAAACTGTTCTCCAAAACCAGTTGCTCCTTTTCTTCGCGACCCAGGTTGATTCCACTCTTTAGGTTCGTGGTCGACGTCCGAGGAATCCGTTCTTTCCGCAAGCAACATTGCCTTACGGTCTTTGCGATGAACCTCTAATACACTTCCAATCCCCGAGCCAGCAGTCCTGTTCCGGGAACTCGGGTCATTCCGACTCTTCGCTCCTCGTCTCGAAGTTCCAACATCCACATCATTGCGCACACTTTTGCTTCTTTCAATAGTCGAACTGTATCGCTCGCTGTAAGAGCTTTTAGATTCTCGCTCTTTCGACTGCGCTTTCCGCTTCACAAACGCTTTTCCATTGTAATCGGACACTCTGTCATTATTGTGACCAGCTGGCATGTCCATTGATTTAGAGCCACCTGCTTCTAAAGCTGGTTTTGTCCGCTCTTCATACGAACCGAATGACTTTTTGAAGCCACCATTATTGTCTTTACCATATCTTGTATCTAGTCCCTTTTCAGTATTATACGACGGTGGTCTGAAGTATTGTCTCCTCGCAGATAGAAAAGCACCGTGTCTTGATCCATCGTCGTAACATTCTTGCACGTTGTACGAACAAGTCTCGATTCTGAAGTTCGGATTGTAACTGAAACAAAACTATCGAATTCACAAGAATCTTTGCTTGCCGAAAAACTCCTTCAAAACTATTCTCTGCCATAATGGAACGCTATTAAATTAAATACTTACTAAATAACAAAACTTTAAAAACATAGCCAACTGACTGTTGGAAAGAAGTAATGAGCGCAAGGAAACTGAAAAAAAACACTGTTTTTTTCAAAAATCTGAATTTCAAGAAAAAATAGATGTCCTTAAACCTCTGGGAATTAGTAGAACAATTTATGATGGACACTTTTTTGTTAAAGATAACCCAATTTGAGAAAACTGGATCAATAGGTAAAACTTTGATTTCGCTGGAAAAACTCTTAATTAATTTCCATTTTCGAAATTAGAAGTCGATCACGTTTTTCTTGACCTTTACAATTTTGCTATTTTATAGTGGAGTTCCTTCCTTTTAACAATAAAAATGCACAGAACTTAAAAAGAAATCACAAGTCAAACCGAGAAAAATCGAAATTGAGCGTGAACAAATCAGCAAGACCTATACTAGAGTAGTCACTACGTTCATTACTCTTAAAAACATCTTACGGGCTGCCTGACATGTCGAACTCGTCCACATTATAACCCGAATCATCTGATTCCTTGTAGGCCCTTCCCCCTCCGCCCCCATTATACTTGCTGGAGTATCCGCCCGTCTGACCGGTAGCCTGGTTACTCTGTGCGTGACTCATTGCTCTCCTCCCTCCACCACCTGTAGGGTATCCCCACATGTTTTGGTTCATTGATCCGCCTGTTGTGTGGTAGTTGTTACTTCCTCTTTTCTGCCATGCAGGCTGTCTTTCGTTTGAGTAAGGGTACATTTCAGACCCATTGTTGACAAATTCGTCCTCTGTTGTTGAAAAGTTCTTAGCCGCTCGGCTGTTGAATTTCGAATTGGCAATAGTTCTTGTCGATCTCTTTTTGCTAGTCTCCGCTCTCGGCTCGTATGTCTGTGGGTACAGACTTTCCGAGTTCTGGTTTTTATTTCGCGCAACGCGGGCTTGAACCGGCACACGTTTTCTCTGTTGCGATGTCGGAGTAACTATCGCAGTTCCATTTGGAACTATTTTGGGTGCCGTCATCTCTATTGTGTTCGCCTTCAATGGAGGTTTAGTGGAGGTTGGACTAGACGCGTTGGCCTGTGGAAACAAGTCGTGCTGCCACTTTCGTGAGTCTGGATTTGGTTGCCATTCGCGTTGAAAGCTCTTCGACTGTGATACTTTGCTCTGATTCTGATTTGAGGCATCAATCTCTCCCGCTTGGTTGCAACGAAGGTCGTGCATGAAAAATTTACCCTGTCTAGGAATGAATGCTGGATGCTGTCTGTCCCTTTCTTCGATATAGTTCTCATCGCCTTCTTCTTCACCGACCAAAACATAGTCACCATCAACAACATCGGCATCATCTCCCGCTTTATCGACGTGGTTATCACTTGATTCATTTGGTTCTGGCGAACCATGAAGAACTTCTGTCGATTCAGGCTCCTCGGACTCTTTCTCTGATGTCACCGCAAAGTCTGACACTTCTGGGTTTTCAGACACATCGGCACTTTCGTCACTCGCCCAATTTCGGACAACGACGTCCTCTTTTTCTAAAACAAGTCTGCTTTCAATTCCGCAAGTATTTACAAATAGATAAAATAAACTAGTAGGGCGTCAGACAGCTGGAAAATAGTAATGAACGCAAAGAAATAGAAAAAATACTGACTTGAATAGAAGAAAAAATTTAATGGACGTAAAACTACTTGAACTACTTGATTGCTGCTTTTTTGAAAACAGCCATTTACAGTTGGAAAAGAGTAATAAATTTAGGGAAAATAGAAAAAACAATGAATTTTGAAAATATCTCAACTTTCAAAAAAATAGATGCCCCTTTAAGCTCTTTGAATTTCTAGAACAAATTATGATTAGCCTTTTTTAATATAAAACTAACCCAATTTGAGAAAACTGGATCAATATGCAAGTTTTTATTTCGCTGGAAAATCTGAAAAAGAAAATCCACTTTCTAATCTAGAAGTCGATTACGTTTTTCGCGAACTTTACACTTTTGCTGTTCGATAGTAGTATTCTCCTTATTAACAAAGGAAACGAACAGAACTTAAAAAGAAGCTCAGCCCTAAAAATTTCGACTGCTCTACACTTGGTCTCGAATCAGCTTTGATGGAGAAAGTTCCAAAAATAGCCAGCTGACAAACGAAAAAGAGTAACGAACACAATGAAACAGAAAAAAAACTTTTAAATTTTAAGGAAAAAAAATTATGCATTTAAAGCTCTTTGAGTTTCACGAAAGAATTATGATTGGCGCTTTATTGATAACATTCATCCAACTTGAGAAAACTAGATCAACAGGTAAAGTCTTTATTTCGCTGGAAATCTAAAAATTAAATTCCAATTTCGAAACTAAAACCGTTCGTTTTTGTTTGCACCATTTTCACATTCGTATTTGGAGAGTTATACTTATGCCACTTTCAGCAGATGAAATTCAATTGAACTCAAACAGTGCATACATACCTAAGTGGATCCATAAATGCATTAATATGTATGAAAGTACATCTGTAGTTATTAGAGCATTTTAAGACGTTTTCCTGAAAAAAAATCATCATGACCTATAGAAGAGACTTAGATACGTTCATTACTCTCAAAAAATTACCCCATTTGAGAAAACTGGATCAATAGGTAAATATTTGGTTGGAAAATCTGATAATTAAAATCCATGTTCGAAATTAGAAATATAAAAAAGAGAACTTAACATTTTTGCTGTTAGATAGTGGAGTTTTCCTTCCTTTCAACATAGGAAATGAACTGCATTTCAAAAGGAATCAAAAGTCAAACCGCGAAAAACCAAAATTGAGCGTGAACAATTTCTAGACTTTTTCTGAAAAAAACTAAAAATCATCACGACCTAAAGAGTCTTCACTCCGTTCATCGCCTCAAAATAAAACCCCATAAACCCTTAACTCTCATATATCAAGGCAAAACCCTGAAAATTTTGACTGCTTGCAATTGGTCTCGAATCAGTTTTGATTACAGTTGAGTAACAAACGCAATGAAACAAAAAAATGGCTTTCTCAAATTTTAAAAAAAAAAATTTGCACTTAAATCTATTTGAATTTCGCGAACGATTTGTCGTTGGTGCTTTTTTGATAAATTTAACAAATATTAAAAATCACCAAGACCTAGTCACGTAAAACTTCCACATTTTAAGAATTCATTCGATATCTACCCCAGGTCAGTTTTAAATGTAATAATCAGATAACGAAAAAAAATCAAATTAATTGCAAACAAAATGAAATTTCACAATTTCACATACATTTTTGAGGCACTTATTTATGATCAAATAATTTAGTGAGCTCTACAAGATCTAGAAGCTTAATTTTCACAATTCAGTCTAGAACATATTGAAAACGGCAATTAATTTTTGTCATTGAAAATGAGCCAAAAAACTATCGCAAATAAAACTTTCCTTAATAAATGTAACTTCTTGGTCGTTTAAGCTGAAAACTGTAATTTACAACATATGTCCAAACTTTTTTTTCGGTGAACTAGAGACACTCGCCGAGAGCAACAACCTAACCGTACTGAAAAAAAACGATAAAAACAGGTTAAATAAATCGAAAAGGGAGGTTTTTAAATGAAATGGATGATGCGTACATCAAAACTAAAATATAATCAAATTTATTTGCCAAAATAACAAGAATATAAGATTTCTCTGAAATCATAGAAAAAAAAATATAGAAAGCTACAAAAAACTTATCAGTCGATGGTTCATATTACGCAACAGCAGAAACTTAAGCAAAAAATTTTTTAACATTGGTCCAAAATAAGTACAAAAAAGTAAAATTACCCGAAAAAGCACTGAGGCAACTAAGGCCAACTGCATTCTAGCCAAATCTATTTAGACAAATTTCATAAAACGAAAACAAAACGGAGCTTCACTCCACTTGCGATAATCAAAAACATAGCATGGCAAGCTAGCCGACAGTACAGTTAGACGAGCGCACTTAGTCGAAGATGTTAAAAAAATTATCACAAAACCAGATCCATCAACCTTTTCATCCGTTCGTCATAAAATCAAGTTTTATAAATCGGTAGCTAAGCCACTTAAAAGAAGCCCCCTGAGCACACCCCCAGCATACACTTGAATGCAAAACTTTATAGAAAACACTCAAAGTACATTTTCATAAGACCTAGAAAACAGTCACTGAACTAGTTAGAATCAAAAACAACGTACACAATATGAAAACAATCTCAAAATAAATCGAAAGCAAAGACATCAAAATTCTGACAACTCTTTGTAACACATAGGCGAAGCGGAGCTTCGCATCACTTGCGATGTATCACAAAGATAGCAGAACAAGCAAGCAGATAGAAAAGGAGAAACCTACGAAACCCAAAAATATTAGATTAAAAAATTTGTACGTGTCTCGGCAAATGAATTTCTATTTAAAGAAGACATCTTCAAACACAATTGTGAGCATTAAATTGGCATTCAGGCAAAATGTCTGTAGCGGTCATTGAGCCGACCATCCTTGGTAGACATGACTTGAGCCGAAAGCAAAACTGTTGTCAAAAAAATATGAGCTAGAAAGCATTGAAACTCGGAAGTTTTTGCATCTACTCACGCATAGAGATCAATTATCACTTCAAAGTGACGCAATATGAGACATCTGTGACGATTATACATTCATTGAGACTAACTAGGACGAATAAACCCTTTAACGGGAAAAAACTGAGAGGAAAGTTAAGCAAAATCGGGTGTATTTCATTTACAAGTAAAAGATAAAAACGGTTTTCAATCTCAAAAAAAACCTCTTCAATCTGGATAATGTTAATACTCTGCTAACTGAGCCGATACAAACTAAGAATACGCCTAAAAGGCCGACAATTGAATTTTTCTGAGAAAAACCTCCACAACAGTACTGATTTAACTTCAAAGTGTACTGCAAGAGCAGTTGTCCAAAAGCACAACTTGAATGTTCAAGAAATTGGCAGTTCAATGGAGCATCTTGATGGAGGACACATGCTGTACAATGATTCAAGCAATTTTGTTTTAAAAAATTGTTAACCCGAAAAAAGTTGTTATTCTGACTTGATACAGCTTGTTAATGGCAAGCATAAAAACCAGTAATTACGAAAAACTCTCAAATGATTCGAAAAGTCAGATTTTTAAAACGAAAAGAGACAGATTTTTAGAACCAAAAACAATTAACACCAACAAAAATTGATACCAGATACAAACTGCCAACTCGAATAAGTCCGTGCAAAATGATCAAAATTGCTGTGGTAATTGAGATTTTTAAAATTATCAGGACAAAAGTCCCAAAAACACCAAAGCTCCAAAAAAAAATCATACAATTCATTTGCTTAAATTTTCTGAAACACGATTACGACACTATTAGGAACATCGTTCTATACATGAATAGTAAGTAAAATATAACTTTTCAGCAAAACAGCTTCACCTGTAATTGATGATGAAAGTGAAGAATCAATTTTGAAAAAACTCAAAAAGCATTTTCAAATTTATGATAAAATTAGCCAAAAATTGCAAATTAAAAGGCAGATCACAAAACAAACAGACGGATATAGTGGCACATTTTTGACGTTTTTTTTTTGGAAAACACCAGAAATAACAAAAACAAATTGCAGGGAGATTTTCAATTCTTTTTCGCTGTAGAAGTTACGGTATTAAATTTAAAAAAAAGCAACAACAGCTATATAAAAGCAAATTATAACACAGAGGCAACTTTCTCTTAGCAAGCACTAGCGAGAACACGACAAAAAGCAGCTCTATCTAAAGCAATAAGAAATTAGAAATAAGCCTCGAATTACAAAAAAAAAATTGGCAATGTCTGAGATTAAGAGTCCCACACACTAACCATTTAGCCAGGGACGCTCAATAGGCAACAGACACAAGCCATAAGTAAAGCAGAGAACAGATGCTATGCAATTTCCATTGCCACAGTGAAACTTTCAAATAAATGAACACTAGTGATTGCTAGTGTAATCAACTACCTTGAAAAAAAACCAAGGCCGATAAAAAACAACCAAAAGCAACAAAGACAAAAAACGAGGAGGCTAAGGCAAACGTCTCTCAAGGCAACGATCGTGCGATCAAATAGCACTTCGGTAACGGTTGGAGGGATCCCAGTCTCCACTAGATGTGATCGGCTATGGCAAAATGGATGACATCCCCTCTCTCACAATTGGTCCAGCATTGAGTAAGACCGGGGGCAACTTAAAAAGCCAGAAACGAAACTTCGTGAAATCGTTCAACACCGTGTATAGTATCCAAAAGACTATTGGATGCTTAAACTAGACCTCTTGGCAGGGATGCAAATAAAAAATACAGGTACGCTCATGCACTGGACCCACACAGAACATCACGTGCGAAGAGCTGAAATCTGAACAATGCTGGGGACGGGAACAAATCTGGCACCCGGTTGCAAAACACTTGCTCTCGCAAGTATACATAATGATTCAAAATCTATTCGACAACAATTTTCCAAAACCTACTAAAATGATAATCAATCAATAGATAAATATTGAGTAAACATTGACTAAGCAGGACAAAAGCTTCAACTGTAACTGATGA